CGACGGGACAAATTGATCACCGGACAGTGTGCGGCAACCGGTTTTACAGTCAGCGCTGGAAAGGTGAAAGACCAAAAGAAGAACGTGCAGAAGACGATAGGCAAGAAATAGCCCAGAGGGGCCGTTGCGGACCACGAGAAAAAGGGAAATGGTGTGCCAAAGCCCAGCAAGTGGCACCTCCAACAGAGCGTCCATGGCAGCCAGAGCCCAGAGCCCACAGTCTGCGCAACTGCGCCCACAGTCTGCGAGGTTTTGAAACGTCTGAAGCGTCCAGAATCCACAAGATGGCTGCTCCAACTGCCAGTATGGCAGAACCATTGGCAAGTTTCGAGGGGTTTGAGGGGTTTGAGGCGTTTGAGGGGCTTGAGGCGTTTGAAGGGCAGTTTCGGGCCACTAGAAAACCAGGATTTGGCGCGCCAGAGCTTTGGAGCGTCTGAAGCGTCCAGAATCCAGAAGCTGGCTGCTCCAACGGCCAGTATGGCAGAACCATTGGCAAGTTTCGAGGGGTTTGAGGGGTTTGAGGCGTTTGAGGGGTTGGAGGCGTTTGAAGGGCTGTTTCGGGCCACTAGAAAAAAAGGATTTGGCGCGCCAGAGCTTTGGAGCGTCTGAAGCATCCAGAATCCAGAAGCTGGCTGCTCCAACGGCCAGTATGGCAGAACCATTGGCAAGTTTCGAGGGGTTTGAGGGGAATTTGAGGCGTTTGAGGGGTTTGAGGCGTTTGAAGGGCAGTTTCGGGCCACTAGAAAAAAGGATTTGGCGCCCCAGAGCCCCGAGCCCACAGTCTGCGCAACTCCGCCCACAGTCTGGCACAGAGCCCAGAGCCCACAGTCTAGCAAGTGCGAGGTTTTGGAGCGTCTGAAGCGTCCAGCATCCAGAAGCTGGCTGCTCCAACCGCCAGTACGGCAGAACCATTGGTGGCAAGTTTCGGGGGGGTTTGAGGGGTTTGAAGGGCAGTTTCGGGCCACTAGAAAAAAGGATTTGGCGGGCCAGAGCCCAGAGCCCACCGTCTGGCAACTGCGCCCACAGTCTGGCAACTGCGAAGTTTTGGCGCGTTTGATTTCGGGCCCAGAAAAGCAAGGATTTGGAGAGCTCAGGTTCCACACCTTCGGTGGTCCCAGGCGCCGCCCCTGCCTTCGCCAAAGCAGGGGTCGGCGGATTTCCTACTTTTAGCATCTACTTGACTTGACATTGTACCTCCTACTTTGCTTTCTACTTTCGTGGCACCCGTGCTCTTTTTTTCATTGGTCACACACCCTTCCACCTTACTCGTACCAGGTTTCTGGCCGAAAAGGGCTGTGTTGCCAAAAGCAGCGCGGTGTCGTGTAAGACTGTTGACGGATTGTGCTAAGTTCATTGCTGCGCCGAAAAGTACAGAAAACAAAGAACATGCGCAACATATTGTATTTTCCACTATCATGTGCCCTTTCTGGGATGCTACTAGGGGCTCCTGGCATCGCTACTAGGAGCAAGGACGCTACTAGGAGACCTTCCTATCTTTATTTCGGTCCTTCAAACCTCGAAGAATACCATTCCTTCAAACCTCACCCGAAACGGCGTTTGACATCAAGGCCTGCTGGACATCGAGCATGTTTTCCAGATTGCAGATTTGGCTTTCACATGTTTCTTCGTGTTGGACGTGATGATACGGATCGCTGTGCTCCAAAAGAGACACGTGGTTGATGCTAGTGTTTTCCTGTTCCTGGAGCTTGAATTTGCTGATTGGACAACCTACCGAATGGACAAGTCAGTTGCTGATGACACCAGAGGAGCTTGCAAGAGTTTTGATCACGCCCTTAGGATTCTTCAAAGTTCCCATGAACTACCTTGACCTGGCCGTTAGCCTCTTTGCAGATTTTGATGGTCCAGCTCGGTGGTACTTGTGGATGTTTAAAGACTGTCGTATGTCACATTAGTAGGCTGAAGGACAGCGCTATTAGGTTTCTTTTGCTTCTAGGAGCAAAGGGCATCGCTACTAGGAGCAAGGACGCTACTAGTAGCTCCTGGCCTTACTACTAGGAACAAGAAGCTACTAGGGGCTCCTGGCCTTACTACTAGGAGCAAGGACGCTATTGGGAAACACCTTAGGCCGATGGAAACACCTTAGGTGTCACGTCTCTGGTGGAGATTGCCTTCCAAGCGTTGACTTTGCCGGTGAACCCCGTGCTCTTCCGGTTGTTGCGAATCGGCAAGCTAGCCAGGGCCTTCCGGATGGTGCCTTAACTCCATAGCTCAGGCAGTCATGAGAAGATCAGCCAAATTTGTTGCAGCCAACTGATTGTTTGGAGGCCATCGCTAGTAATTAGGTTGGAGGCCATCGCTATTAGGCCGGAGTTTTCCGAAGTGGCCCAACTCCGAGGTAACCATGACTAGTGTGCTTGCTTCCTTGCAACTTCTCGTGAAGTGCTTGGCATCCAGTAGTGTCTTGGCATCGCCAACAATTGAGTGGGTTTCCAGTCTCTTCCTTCTTCTTTCTTCTTCTTCTTCTTTTGAGCTTTTAGGGCATCCATATAGAAAACCGTAAGTGTAGTAGCAGGGCAGGGCTTCTTGCAGCTAAGGGCAAGATCTTAGGTCTTCTCGGTAGGCCGTTCTGCCAGGCAACATGCTCTTCTGGAGCTTTTGCCTGCTGACCTTCGTGCAGTGTGTTGCTGGACTCATCATGGCCACACTTTGCCGCGATTTCTTCACTGATCCCTTCTACGACCAAAGCATTCGAGCACTTGGTCAGCAAGAGAGAACCAGCCGCATGCTAAAAGTCATGTAACGTCTCCAGATGCTTCGACATTGTTATGCGCTTTGAAGGGAACTCAGATTTGACCGTGATTGACATGCCTTCAAACAAAGAGCTCCTGCAAAGTAATCCAAACGCGTAGACACACTTTTTGAATAGGCCGCGGGCAGTTAAGGTTTCATGGGTACGGATGTTCTGCACTATATATTTTGCCTGCTAAGGAACAAGTCTTCCTCTACTATGGCACCTTTAGCCGAACCTTCCTGACTATGTTTGAGGTGTGTCACATGATTTTCAGTATTGTGCACTGTGAGGTTCAACTGTTCAACTGTGTGTTCATCGATCGATGTGAGGTGCTTTTTGCCAACTGGGGACCTGCATGCAGGGTACTGACCGAAAACTACAGCGAGTACTTCTCAGTTTTCTTCCTCTTTTACAGGCAAACTGAACGGCAGATCGTTATTTTTTTCCCGAAAGCATTGCGGAGGGTTCTTCCGGAAAATCCCTTGAACACTGACACTTCGACACTTACACTTACACACTGACACTTCCACCACATTCGCACTACATACACTGACACTTCGACATTGACACTTACACATACACACTGACACTCGGCAAGCACGCAGTGTAAGTATACAAGTGATGGGTACGCAAGCATGCTTTGAGCATGCAAGCATGCAATGAGTAGGCAAGTGTGAGTATGGAAAACTAGCACGGGAGATGTCCTAATGAAAAAACATTTCCCCACTTTATAAATTCTCTCTTAAAGGCGGAGGGCGGGACGAACAGCGTCAACCGAAAGTGCAACCCTCTGCGGAGATCGTGCGTGTCGAGTGTGCGAAATGCAGGCGAGAGTGCGATTTGCCGGCTGCCCGCGCAACCCTCTGCGGAGATCGCGCGTGTCGAGTGCGCGAAATGCAGACGAGAGTGCGATTTGCCGGCTGCCCGCGCAACCCTCTGCGGAGATCGTGCGTGTCGAGTGCGCGAAACGCAGGCGAGAGTGCGACTTGGTACACAAAACTAGTACGCAGAGTAGCTGGGGAGCTGGAAGCTAAAAAACTGGCGACGTGGTAGTGCGAGAGTAGTGCGCGGAGTAGCTGGAGAGCGGGAAGATGAGAACTGGCGAGTGGGTAGTACAACTTGAGGGCGTGGAGTATCTGGGGAGCTGGGAGATGAGCACTGGCGACTTTGTAGTACAACTGTAGTACGCGGAGTAGCTGGGGAGCTGGAAGCTGAGAACTCGCGACTTTGTAGTGCAACTTTAGTGCGCGGAGTAGCTGTGGAGCTGGAAGATGAGAAGTGGCGACTTGGTAATACAACTTTAGTACGCAGAGTAGCTGGGGAGTGGGAAGATGAGAACTGATGAGTGGGTAGTAGCTGAGAACTCGCGACTTTGTAGTACAACTTTAGTACGAGGAGTAGCTGGGGAGCTGGCAGATGAGAACTGGCGACTTGGTAGTACAAATTTAGTACGCAGAGCAGCCGGGGAGGGGGAAGATGAGAACTGGCGACTTGGCAGTGCAACTTTAGTACGCAGAGTAGCTTGGGAGTGGGAAGATGAGAACTGGTGAGTGGGCAGTAGCTGCGAAGTGGCGACTTTGCAGCACAACTGTAGTGCGCGGAGTAGCGGGGGAGCTGGAAGATGAGAAGTGGCGAATTGGTAGTGCAACTCTAGTACGCAGAGTCGCTGGGGAGTGGGAAGATGAGAACTGGTGAGTGGGTAGTAGCTGAGAACTGGCGACTTTGTAGTACAACTTAAGTAGTGCGCGGAGTAGCGGGGGAGCTGGAAGATGAGAAGTGGCGACTTGGTAGTACAACTTTAGTACGCAGAGTAGCTGGGGAGTGGGAAGATGAGAACTGGTGAGTGGGTAGTAGCTGAGAACTGGCGACTGTGTAGTGCAACCTTAGTATGCGGAGTAGGTGGGGAGCTGGAAGATGAGAACTGGCGACCTGGTAGTACAACTTTAGTACGCAGAGTAGCTGGGGACTGGGAAGATGAGAAACACACACATACGCAGACTCATTTCCACACGGACATAGACACACGCACAGAAACCCACACACTACCTCAACTCACTCGACTTCACACTTCTCACTGCACACTTACCGGATAACTTGCACTCTGTCTTCCTACGTGATGAAAAATGCTTTCGGGCCACTCGTCGTCTAGTTTAAATTGTTGGTTGCCAGCGCTCATTTTCGGAAACGATGCCAAACCCTTTTGGACTTTGGGACTTTGTGTTTCAACGTCAGTCAGGTGTGTTTTGGGCTTTGCAGTGTTAAATGTGGTGAATGCAGCCTGAGCCCCGGCGTGGTGACTTTTTCGATGTACAAGCGGCGACGAATAGTCGAATTTCACTGTGATTTCAAACAGCTTCTTGTTACTAGTAGCTTCTTGTGACTACTAGTAAGGCACTTGTTACTACTAGCGTGGCACTTGTTACTAGTAGCTTCTTGTTACTACTAGTAAGGCACTTGTTACTACTAGCGTGGCACTTGTTCCTAATAGCTTCTTGTTACTACTAGTAAGGCACTTGTTACTACTAGCGTGGCACTTGTTACTAGTAGCTTCTTGTTACTACTAGTAAGGCACTTGTTACTACTAGCGTGGC